CCTCCAGATGTGTTGGGCTGGAAGCAGAGAAGTTATAGTTATAGAGCCGAGGTGCAGTGGTTAAATGCAGCACTGCAGGCTACTTCAGCTGACTGCAGTTCTGCAGTTCGGCGGTTCAAATCTCACCGGCTCAAGGTTGACTCAGCCTTCCATCCTTCCGAGGTGGGTGAAATGAGGACCCAGACTGTGGGGGCTTACTCTGACTCTGTAAACCGCTTAGAGAGGGCTGAAAGCCCTATGAAGCGGTATATAAGTCTAACTGTTATTGCTATTGCTATTAGAAAAAGAGACATTTTATACTATTTTCCCTTCCCAGTCTTTGTTCCTATCATTCTGCTTAATCTCCGCTCCCCTGCATTTCTTACCAAAATAATCTATATTAAAAAAAAAAACAGTTCATGAAGTATTTAAACAGTGCTAGTGGAGTAACAATATTCTATCCTACGTTAGGGTTTTATTGGTAAAGGTTTTTGAATAACTTCAGCAAATAGGCCTTGATGAGCAAAGAACTGAATTGAACCCCTCTGTCATTTCAGAGAATCAGACATGCAGATCCAATTATATCTTATTTTACGGCTGACCGCAGTCCTGTCAATTTACAGAAAGAACGAGAAGTTAAGTATGAAATAAAAGCACAGTGCCAGATAGATGGAAAGTGGGAAGAATTCACCACAGAAAGGCTGACTCAAAACTTTGGAGTTAAGAAACCTTCTTCTAAAAGCAAGGTGAGGAAAAACCAAAAGAAATTTACTAATTACTTGAAAACATGTTCGGTGATAAACAGTGGAATGAGGATAAAGCTTCAGTAATCTCTTGGGCCAGAGAAGCATAGTTTCTGGGTTATTTAAGAAAAATAACTTTGTAGGCAAAGGTCTAGATTATAATGAACTGTGATCTAAGGATTATATGGGAAGACAAAGAAAGGCAGTTAGACCATTCATTCAGACACATTTTAAACAATTACAAAATATTTGTGAAATAATTATAATGCACTTCTCAATTAAAATGTCTTAGATGGTTTTGAACAATAATTTATAATTAGGAACAGACAATATAAATTAACAAGGTGAAAAGAAATCAAGACAGAGCAGAAAACACAATATTTAAAACATGCCTGATTATAAACTTTTGTATGTTGCCTCTTCCATTGATTTGATGACCTACTATAAATGAAGGGAAAAGGGATTCATCAAATCACAAGATCCACAAAAGATTCTAGAAATCAGGAACAATCCACAATAAATAAAAACACAAGTATTATTTAAAAAATAAAATAATTTCTGCCCTTAGGTAAGTTTGTCCTCCTGAAATAGCCTTCTAAAAAGGACTTTATTCACTGTTTCTCAATGTAAAGGAGAACTTTTGCTCTTCGAGCAGAGCCTGAAACTGAGAATGTCAGTCTCAGGGTCCCAACCAGGGGTGGGTTTCAACCGGTTTGCGGCGGTCCCCGCGAACTGGTTGGTCGGCGAACCTGGAAGTAAGTAACTTCCGGGAACGGCGAAGGGCCCACCCACCCACCCGCGCTCCTTAC